TATCGTACTAGTAGTAAAATTTTCGTAAGAAAGTAATACACCACGTAATCATTGTCGAAGGAAGTAGGTACTTTCTTGTCCAAAAAAAGAACGCTAACGAATCTCATCCGCGGTCTATTCGTGGAAACCTAAGCGGATCACAGTGTAAGCCGCTTACGTAAGAATGAACCAAAGGGCTTCGCGTTACTGGTCACTTTGCTATCATATTTCATATTAACCGCTGATTAAAATCGATTTTCTTATGCCAACATGTTTCTCATTTTTTGTCACTCTTCTTTCTCCTCTTTCTTTCTAATGGAAGTCAAAAATCGATTCGTAAACTCAATTAATTATTATATCTAATCAACAAAATTTATTCAAAGAAAATCTCGAAGTTTGTTTCTCTTGTATTTCTGCGAAGAGCTTTCTGTCCTGTTTATCGATTCGAACTTAGCTTTCATGGAACGTCAACGAATGGATATCGTGCATGATCGATAGACGTAATATAGTATTCATCTAAATAATGTTGAGAAATACTATGATGAAAAGATACTAGTACCGGTGTGAGTTTACCTGTCGGGCTGATCGAGATTTTCTAGTCGACTGCTTCGAATCAACTAGGACGTTACGAACTGACAGAGTATTGATCGTGTTTAGTGTCAAAATGCTGAATAGAATGAATTGATAAGATTTATACATAAGAAAGTTTCGCCTGAAAGATGTTACAGGTATATTAGAATGATTTTACATGTGTTTAACGAGAGTTGCATTTCTCACTACAATATATTTAATACATTTCCATTGAATACAATTATATTAATTATTCCTATGTAAATTTCGTAAAATTAATCGCTTATAAAAGACAAACGAAAGTTTAAATTATTAACGAAGAAAGTTTAATTATTAGATAATTAATTTTCTGCTATAATTATTATTTTTATTCTCATACTTTTTACAATGTTAACTGAATAACGACAAAAGATAAAGTCACGTGTCTGCTCACGATATTTCTACGTATTAATGACGAAATGCGAGCGTCCAACGACCTCGGAAATAAAATCGATTTGTAATTAGCAGTCACGCAGTCGCAAGATGCAGCGCCACCATTCACTTGTTTCTTTTAATCTCGCTCGAACATTATGCGCTTGATTGTATTTCAATGCTGATATTCTTTCCATTAAGCTGAGCTAGCTGAAATAAAAACTTGAACCTGTTCATGGTATGAACATCGACAGAAAGAATAACGAGGAAAAAAGATACACATGTGAGGTATCCGCACAAAATTCGACCTAAATTTGTAAGAAATTGACTATACTCCTTCATTAGAGTTATTTGAAAATTTTATTCAGTAGAATCATAAGAAGTTATACAAATATTCTATTGATTTTATTCATAAATAATTGTTATTTTATCGATATAAAATTTTTGCCAATAATAAAATTTATTTACAAATCAACCAAATAAATATAATATTTCATAATCAGGATTTCTAGGTTTATCCTTCTGTATAATTGATTTATCCAAAAATGTATATTTGCTGTTTTATTGTAATAAAGTCATAAATTCCTTAATTAAATATAACACCTATATTTACATATTTATAAATCAGTTTAATAATTACAATTATTAGGTAATTAAAGAAAATAGAAAAAAAAAAACAAATAAAAAGGAATAAGTGGTTCTTTACCTTTTAACGCCAATCTCAGCGTAACGGCCTCTTGTAGCACGGCTCGCCACGCTTCTGCCGTTGCTTGGGTTCGTGTATAATGTTAATATATCACTGTTAATATTGTTTATGATTGGCGGTAGCATTATTGCGAAAGGAATCCAAAATATGACAATTTGGCGTTCGTTTATTATGATTTGTGACGACGATTAGTCGGTCGGTGGAGATACACAACACATTTCACTGTTTTTAAATAGGATTTTATAATGACGCAAAAAGAATGAGTATATTCTTCGAGAAAAATCTCTCTCTCCCTCTTTCCCTCTCTCTCTCTCTTTCTCTCTTCTCTTTTATCTTTTTCCTAAATATCTGTGAAAATTGAAACAGTCGGAACATCGTAAATTCGTTTAATTTCGTAAATCACTGTTTTTCTTGGTGGAAAGAAATTCTCTAAGGAACGTATTCTCTAAGAAACTATTTATAACATGTCGTAAAATTATTAAATTATGCATTTCTCTTTCTCTATTGAGTTCTATCGGCATTGAAAAAATCAAATCGACAATTAGTAACAGACTTCTCAACACTCCTTTATGGTCTAACAAGAAGGCTCGAATTATCAATGCGTTGTAAATTATTTATATTATGGGTGAGTTTATCTTCGTCGTTTTCCTTTTCCGCGTATGCGTTCGAAACGTCTCCGATAACGTAATAATGCGTAGCGACGATACGTACGTCGTGAAAATATCTGATAAAACGACAACCACCATCCATCTCCTTTCTTTTTTTTTTTTATCATTGATTGTTCACGTTTGTTACTTTCTATTGTTTTAATTATCTCTCGTGGCGTCTCGTGTCATATGTAATCTTTAAAAAAAAAAAAAAAAAAAAAACGTCAAACCACATATTTGTATCTGCGTGGGAAAAATAAAAACGCGTGGGAAAAATAACGATCGATCGATCGAACGAATTATTCCGAGATATTGTGATACTTAAATAAATCTATATAAATAGCCATATAGTGAATCATGCGAGAAATTATTTGCAAAAATAATACATACATTGAATAAAACGTTTATAAAGAGTTTCAATAAATAATCTAATTTCTGTTTTGTTTTAAAATTCGATAAAAGATATCATTCAACGATATTTAATAATATTTATAATTCCTGATATTCTCTTAATATAATTTTCCCTCTGACTACTCCAATAATATATAATAAATAAATATAATATCGGGAGAAAAAATACTTAAATAAAAACGATGGATACGTGCCGTAATATTCTGTTTATTGGGCTCTTCTACGGCGAAGCACGAACGACGGTAAAAATTTTGATCGTACAGGCCGGTTCCAACGATTTCCAATGGTCTTGTAATAGGATCCTAGGCATCATTAGAACCTTTTTTTCGAGGGTCAATCGTAACAAGAAAAAGAAAAAAAAAAGACAAAAAAAAGTACAGAACGAATAGGAAGGCAATAGCAATAGCACCATCGTTGGCAAATATTCCGAAGGACGAGATTGTTCATCGGGAGTCTTTACGAGATATCAAGGTCCTGGGAAAGGATGCTGAGAGTAAAAACGAGAAGCGGAAGGGACGAGAAACGAGCTCGAGGAACGCAGACCGATTGGATCGTTGTTGAGAGAGACCATGAGAGTACCTATGTAAAAAACGAACAGGATATTGGTTCGAATGAGAAAGAAAGACAGACAAGACAAGGCGTATACCGATCGTGCGATATGATAAGTGCGTGCTTCTTGAAATTTTCTATCTCTGCTTATTTCCTATAATCCCTAGATTTCTCTGCCACAAAAAAAAACATAAAACTAGGAATATTGATCGATCAACCGCACAAAATAGTTCGTATTTAAATAAAAAAAAATATATATATATATAAATTTACAAAAGAATAAAGAAATGTTGACTAGAACGAGTAATTAATGTTGTAATGCTCGCATTATTTCAGCGTAACGATCGGGAACGTTAATTATTTTCTAATGACGTGATAATTAAGAGGAAATATCTCAAAAGAAGATTAAAATTATACATATGTATACATAATATTTCGGTAGCTGTTGTAATTTCTAAAGTCACATTTCGTTGCGTACGAACGACGAAGGGAATAAAATAAACAGTAATTTCGCGAACCGCAAAGGCGAAAACATTTGAATTCAGCAACAGTAACGACGACGACGGTAGAACGGCTGACGGGCACGGCGATTATCCCTCGACGCAACCAGCACTCACGACCGTCGGGAAAGATGCTATTCAAAATTTACCGGATGACGGTTGCTGAATTAGAAACTGAACTCACGACTCACATTTTCAGCGAGACGTTTCTCATTTCCCCTTTAATTTTGATACCGGATATTATATCTCTTAAATTTTACTTTATTTCTGAATAAACAGACAAGGAGAGATAAAGAAAGAGAAAGAAATATAAAAAAGTGCAAACGTTTCGCTAGAAAGAAAACATTCCGCTAGAAAATGAAATAAATTTGCATTACTCTTTCTCTGTTTCTTTCTCTCTTTCTGTCCCTTATTCTTTCTTCGTTTCTTTAAATTAGAATAAAATTTACGGTACGATTGTGGCGTCGGATAATTTATATCGCGTTAAACGTTTATTACGAAGAACGCAACGCTTCGAAAAACAACTGGCTGAGAGAAAATCTTGAGAGAGGTTTGCGATAGTGAACGATGCGTTCAATCTTCTTTCTCTTCGACGACGAAGAAATCAGGTCAGCTCATCTGCTTCTAATATACTTTGATCTCGGATGAGAGGTAAGATCTCGTAGATAGGTAATTATCTAACGTAGAATCGTTCAACGAGAATCTCACACAGTGTGGTCTAATACACCGTCACTTTGCGGTAACTGGTGCAGACTCACGATTATCGACCTTCATGGAGCCGCAATTCCCTGGCTAGCCGATGTGATTGGTCGTCACGATAATTCGATTAACCCTAACGAATCGAGTTGGAGGACTGAATCGGAGGATGGAGATGAAGCTATATATTTTTTCTTTATTAATGTATTTCTATCTCCTTTTTTACACGGTTCAAAGAACTCAAAATTTACTCGAAATTTATCGCTATAATAAACTATGAAACTACTTATATAGACAATTATTTTAGTTTTAATACTTTTTTCTTTATTTTAATATTATCAAAAACCTTGATCCAATTCACAATGTATATTTCATTATCGATTTCCCTTTTGAATTTTATTTTTAAACTATTGCGAAAATAATATCATTATATATATACATATATATTAATATATATATTAAAACATATTAATATATATACATATATATATATATTAATATTTTTACAAATAAAACATACTATTACGAGCCTTTATAATAAACAGCAGCTGCACTTTCCACGAGTTGTTTGACAATCAGCTGCACGCGACTGTGGTTAGTTGCGCAACACGTATGTATCAACGAATCGTCCGTGAACCTTCATCTTGAACGCTGATGAATATCAAGAGAAAACAATTCAATTCGTCACCGCGAGATAAACGAAAGAAGAAGGTAAAAATTAAATAGATAAGCATGAATTTAAACAAACGTTCTAATAAAGTAACAATTGTTTCATACAACGGATCATGCATCGACAAATTTCTAAAATAAAAGAAGAAAATAAATGAGTAAAGATTTGAAATTCAATGATAGAGAGAAACAAAATTAACGAAGACTCGATAAAGATTGACATTTTGTTTTTTTATTTTAAAGACGTTCTCTTATCGTTACCTATACGATGAGTTCTTATCGATGCACGGTGCAATGCATTTGAAGAAGTCTATGTCACTGGCTCGTACAGAGTACCTACTATCACTCGTGATTCAACGAGGGAAAGCTTGACAGAGCAACGTACTCGTTGGTGTTCGACTACGTGCTCACTATAAAGTTAGCTCGTAAGGACAAGAGTTACGAGAGAAAAAGAGATTAAGAAACAGAGCGAGTGAGAGAGAATCGCGGTCCACTTAAAAGAACGTTCTCAAGCACGAAATACTATTCGATCAAAGAAGCCACGAAGAAAAAGAAGAGGAAGACACTTGCCGAAGAACTTTCAATGTCTTTCCACTTCGTTTCATCTAATCGTATTTAGCCGAGTGGAACCTCGATTATCGGTTATCTCTCAACGAAATTTCACCATGCATCCCTATCTCTTTCTTTCTTTTTATTCTTTTTCTCTCGGACGATTCGATAACATTTCATGAAATAAATGGTCTAAGGATAATCGATTCGAGGTAATACAGAATGTCTATGGAAAACAAAACAAAAAGAAAAAAAAATTAAGTAGAAATGTAAAGAAAGAGAAAGAGAAAGAGAAAGAGAAGGAGAAGAAGAAGAAGAAGAAAGGGAAAGATAGAGACACAATGTTAGTTTTAATCGCATTGGGTGCAACGAGATATAAACGAGAACACGGAGAACGTTTGTGATAAAAGATAAACAATGAGCGTGCGGCATTTTTCGAAATTTTCACTCGTAACTTTCGTGCCACGTATCTCGCCATTTTCACACGCAGTGCGCTGCTTCAACTCGATATTTCCGATATATATTTACGCAGCAGACCGATGGAGAAGAGAAAAATATACGTTCCCCATTTAAGGTTGAGTGACCTCGAAAGAAAGAAAGAAAGAAAAAAAAAAAAGGAATAAAAGGATCCCTCGTACCGTCGATCTCTTCGAATTCCGACTACTATTGAACTCTAAAAATGTATCTTCATATCGTTTATCAACGAGAATTTCTTCCTATATTTCTTTCTTTCTCATTCCAAAGAAGCTTCGCGACGTCGCGAGATATATTCATCGAACAAACTTCGATAAGACATCCACGGAAGTAGAGACAACTTCGATGAACCAGATAGAAACGGATGACTCATGGAAATCCAACAAATCTCCCTCTCGACGATACGCACTCCAAATATACTAACCGGCGTCGTTTCGACGCCGGAGACTCGACGTTCAAAACTCTCTATGGGAACAAAAAAAAGGATATTGATCTCTTTGTTAAGGCTGTAAACGAATTTTTTGTTTCTTTTAAAAATGAACAAAGTACAAAACATTACAAGAACTCTTTTCTTCCCGAAAAAAAAAGAAAGAAAAAAAGAAATCATTATTGACGTCTAAACTTTAAATTTCTCGATAGTACGAACAAAAACCTTTTACTTTTCTCGTTTATCAACGATACATCATCCATCCACCAAGAAGACAGTACAAGTAAAAAAACAAATAAACAAATATCTAAGCCGAATTTTGTATGAAAAAACGCACGAGAAATATTAAAAAAAAAAGGGATTATTCTGTTTCCTCTTCGTTATGTCACTCTTGATATCACGAGCTCGTGTACGATGGAAGTTAGACGTGAATAATAAAAGATATAGAACGAACATTCAAATAGAATAGATGAAGGCGTCGTGACGCCGGTCGCCGACGCACTGCGAGGCGTCGCGACGTCACGTAACGCGCACGAGAACGCGACTACCGGTCGAGAACGATAGAACCGAACGGAGCGCCTTCTTCTCCCCTTTCTTCGCTCCCCGCGTTCCACTAAAGCGGAGGGGAGCCGGAAAGGTGAAGAAAGGGGGGAGGACCGGCGAGCGCACGCGCAACACCGACCACTATTTCATTCTACATAGATTCTCTTTATCCTTTTCCCTCAGCGACTATGGTGGTCGCGTGAAAGAAAAAAAAGAAAGAGAAAGAATAAAACAAATGAAAAAGGATCCATCAATCTTTTGATTTCTAACACATTTTTTTTAAGATCTACTGCTTTTAATCAAAATTTTTCATAATTATGTTAAATAGATATGATATGTTTCAATCTTAAGGAGTGCCGATGTAATTATAAAATATTTTATTGATTATTTGAAAGTCTTAAGGAGAATTATTAATAGATATTTAAGATTGATATACCTACATTGATCGTTAATTATACGATCTTTCAGAATTAAAAAATTTTCTATATAATATATTAGATGTACAAATACCAGTTTTTAATACGTTTAATTAATTATTTAATTCGACTCGATAATTATTTTTTTGATTATAGGAATAAATGTTTTATTAGGGGGGTTGAATTACATTTTACGAATGTCACGTAGATATTCTTAAACATTGAGTTAAAGAAAAGTACCTAACTAACCGTTCCAATGTTTGCGTCATCAACGTAGAAGACATCAGTCTTAGGACGAACTGGTTTTTCGAATGGTAAATGGAGAAAAGAGGATTTCATTCGTTCGAGGAGCTACCGTGCACTAGGACAGAAGAAAAATCAATGGTTGTTCATCGGGTTCTTATCAAGGTGATGTGCTTCAATAAAATTCGAGCGTGATCGTGAGGAAGGTTTTTTCGTTCAAGATAAAACTATTTCAAGAGTTGTCTCTTCTTCCATCGAACGAATATTTGTTATGATTGAGCGTGATAAAATTAATTGAACGAATTATCCATCTTATTTTTTCTTTTAAATTGTTCAATTTTTCAGTTAAACGTTCTTTTTTTTTGTTTAAGAAAATGTTTTTAAATTTCTTTTAATCGTTTAAGAAAATGTTTAAATTGTTAAAATTTTAAGATTAAAAGTCGAAAAATTAAAATTAATTTCAATATATCCGAACCATTTCGAAATACAATAAACAATTAATTTGATCAAAAACAACAACGAACGTTTTGCAAAAAATTTTTCGCGCTGGAATTGCAGTTAGAACTTATGCGAGTTAAAATTGCAATAGAAAAAAAAAGAAAAACAGCATACAACAAAATTAACAATTTGATAAAAAAGATTCCGGAATGCTGATGGTGCGATCTCTCAGCAAATTCCAGGCGTATTATAGCCAATTAAATGTTTCTCTATGCGGAATTAAATGATTTCCAGTGAAATATGTTCGAATAATTCCATACATCTTGGATCGAGCACCTGCTTGTTATATATTACCCTTTACACGCCTAAGTACATCGATACGAATTACGACAACAATAACTTACACCTTAGCTATTGTCAATTCTGTTTTTCATACACAAAACTACAAGAGAATTATTAGTCTCATTAAAATAGAAAATTCGTGAAATAAATATAATAATAATAATAATAATAATAATAATAATAATAATAATAATAATAATAATAATAATAATAGTTATGAAAAAGAAGAACAATCTGATTCAACGGAAATAACATACGAAAAGCCGGTCGAGCAATTAACCAAAACAAGATAAACGAAACGTCTCTGTAATTACAGTCGTTAGGAAAGAAACATGTTTCTCAGGATCGCGCCTTCCACTATTTCTCGCGAGTGATCTAGGAAATGGTTGAGCGAAATGAAATAAAAAAATTAGGTCAATGCGATCGTGATTCTTACTAGTCGAATAAGACGATCGGTCATTCATGACGTTATTAGAAGTTGTCTTGACGATTGAGAGTCTTTCGATCATTGCTACGTTTCCACATTATGGTAACTTTACGAGAATCGTTCGTTTTCAAGACATCAAACGGTATATCGAGGAGTTTCTTCGAACTTATCGAGTACACAAAATCAAAATGTCTTCTCCACCACCTTCTCTCTCGAGTATTATGTTTTATTTTATAAATAACATTCCGAGGGTAGAAAAGAGTTTTGTTGTATTGTATTATTTATCCAATAGCAATATCGACGTACACAGATTATTGCGCGTCACAGATAATACATATTCAATGTTATATGTTATACATAACTGCGTATATGTAGTATGTATATACAACGTATATTTTCTATTTAATGGTACCTACGGGTTAAGTCTATATATGGAAG